AACAATAATGTCCTACAAAGTGATGAAAAGTTGTATAGATTTATAAGGGTGACAAACTTTGATCATCATTGCAAGTCTACAATTTCTTAATGTTTTAGAAATATAATATTTGCATCATTTACAATCAAAATAAGTCCAAAAATATGTCAATCCAGACATCAATTTTTTTGTTTGTTCACCTATCCTTGTTTGTTGTTTAACGTCCCTCTCGAGAATTTTTCACTCATATGGAGATGCCACCACTTGCCGGTGGAGAGCTGCAAATTTTGTCCTATACTCAGCACTTAGGGCCATTGAGCAGTGAGGGATCTTTTTCGTGCCAGCATGTACTGCGACACGGGACCTCGATTTATACGGTCTCATCCAAAGGACCGGTCTCCACGTCCAACAGTGGGATTCGAACCCGCGACGTAAGGATTAACTCCTTACTCCGCTACTCTAGAACAGACGCTCTTCCACTGCGCCACGCAGGCGACTCACCTGTCCTTAATGTTCGAATTTAATACTTCTTCATTCCTTGAAAGTAAAGTTGCCGAAGCCCATTGCTTTAACGGAGTGGAGAGGTACAAGAATATATAATATTACTGTTCACTTTGACTTTGTAGATATGATAAAGACATGTTTTAAATCGTTTAGTATACCATATACAATCAATTATGGACTCTTTCGGTGGTGAATATGGTTTGTAATTCACCAGAAAAATATCAATATTGACCGAGGCGAAGCCTCCACATCGATCTCGGTAGTGTGGGGAGCATTTGATTCAGATGCGGTCTATCTCCGGAGATTTAGAGCTTCCTCGACTTCGTCGCAAAAAAGCGACAGTATAAGTTAGATAACCGCGATTTTTTTATGTCCTGTACTGTGTCAAATAAGTTAGTACAAAATACAGGCAGGTGAAAAATAGGCTTCTGAATTCAGCGTAACATGTGTACAGGTAAAAAAATTATCCGTACGAGTCAAAATTAGGTCTTAGGTAAGTGGGGAAGACATCCAGGATCACCGTGAGCATATGATAGCAGGTCCGCAGGAAGCAATTTCAGTTGGGGGGGGGGGGGGGGGGGGCATCCATACATTTTCAGTTGGGGGCACTATCAACTACCAAAAATTCCATGACAAGCAAAAAAAAAAAAAAAAGGTCATCAGACGTTTTTTACTGGGGGGGGGGGGGGGGGGCACACAAGCATATAGTAGCTATGTTTTCTATAGTACTCTATATATCGGCAAAATTATTGGGGGGGGGGGGGGGAGTAACTTAAATTGCTGGGATGGCATTATTACTCATGTTAATCAATATTGCACCTTTTCGCAACAATTCTGCCATTTATCATCTATAAAAATATCAAAATCAGGCTATATTTTAAAAAAGCACTATCTATATCGGCATGATAAGAACGCAGGGCGATCTGGTATTCAGAATCTATGCTACTTTGCTACTAATACTTTACACCCGACAAAGCCTAAGGTTATACAAGGGTGGCTCCTACGCTGGTTAATCTACTCTGATGTGATGCAACTATAACCAGTTAGATTTTTGTTATAAGTTATGAATACTGCTTCCTGGACTATACCCGTTGTTTAGCGGCAAACGGGGAAGGGTGATAAAGTAGCGGCGCTCGATCTGGGATGTAATACAACTAAACGAGAAGGGTGTCGTATTCCCTATATCCTCCAATATACAGTTCAAGAACTGGTAAAATCAGGTTTCCGAAATAATTATAGTCGATGGTAAATAACAATCATCATGCGCGGACCTAGAAGTGGGGAGGGGGTCCGGAACCCCCCCCCCCTCCCCCGGAATTTGCAGAGTTAGACATGAAAGAGGTTACCAAATAATTATACAAAAAAAGTTATTGATACGGGATTAACAGGTCCTGAGGCAATAACACCTTATGAGTATCAATTCTTTTGACAGAGCCACTTAGTGTCAAATGAAATGTCTTAATCCTGCTTCGGAGGAAATGAGATAAATCAAGACAAAATTAATTCAAATAAGTAAACAATAAATACGAAAAAATATTGTTAAGAATTTCACGGATTGGTGACATTATGTGCATTGCAATTTTGCATATAATTTGACTATACGTGCAGTGGCGACAGATTTGTGCCGTCAGGCCCGTCACAGGGGATTTTAGGGCCATTTTTCCAAGATCGGCGTATGACTGGCTTAAACGGATTATTGGCAAATACGTATAAACCGGCGAAATTAACAAAAATTGATTATTTTCATATATTGACCGATTAATATATAATATCTATCTAATGTTAAAAAATGTCATAGACGTCCTAAACATTTTTTTTAGATTAACAATAGATTTTAAAGTTATAAATGAACATTTGTTTATAATAAATGCATGCAAACAATTCCCCCAGAATATATAATTTTCCCAAGAACTTGTATAAAGTACATGTATATTGCTACATGAAGAAGCTACCTCACAAAAAATTGAGATAGAGTGTACATTACAAGGTAATTGAGAAAGATACCAGAGGATGGCTGTGACAACCGTTCAATCACATAATATTAAAAATTATAAAATATTTTTGATATGTTACAAAAAAGATACAAATTCAAATATTCAATGAAAGTGTCGTCAAACCTAAATATATTTTTATTGACATCCTTATATTAACGATATCTTAATTCTTCTGTTAAAAATAGTTTCCATTACGCATTGTTTAGTATTTTTGTTTAATCGGATTACGGAAAATTCTGTATTTTAAACAATTACACCCAATTAAAGAATTCGTATTTCTTATAGTATATTTTAAGAGCTAAGTCTTTTTAATGTGTCGAAAGATTAAAATAATATAAACTGAAAACACAGCGGGTGTGTTTTATTTGATCAGTAACAATTTACCGCCGTGTATATGTACAGCTGTATTCCACCACGTGGGTACAGTGTGTCTTACCCTGCAAAGGGGAAAGTTTTGACCTTTGTTGACCAGCACGTAACCTTACATCTCTCTCTCTCTCATAAACGCAATTCTTGTTTCACAACTGTTTATATGCTCATATATATATATATATATATATATATATATATATATATATATATATATATATATATATATATATATATATATATATATATATATATATATATATATATATATATATAATTCTGATAGACACGTGCATTACTAATCCTGTAAAACTAATTAAAGCATTTCTATTTTGCCTACACATAATCCTTAAAATTTTCTTGCCCAGGTTTTATGCACATCTGCTGTCTGTAAAATGAGTAGACCTGTTTTCTCCACATATTAAAACCCAAAATTGCAGTAGAGGAAAAGGATATGTGTTGGGAACACATGCATGGACGAGCATTATACAAAGAGCGTTTCTATAAAAAAAAAATAGAGGAAAACACACACTGTTAGTAAGGATCAAACCGTGTACTGTGTGCCTTAGGTTAATTTAATTTTACTCGATTTGGATATAAAATCAAGATAGTGTTGTTGAAAGAAGTTAGTTTAACGGAGATTGGAAATACACTCATTTAAATATTATTTTGAATTTTGGTGGAAAAAATAAAGGCTGAAAACAATGCCAATATGCGTAAGTTACAATCCGTGAGAAAATTTGTCGATCCGTGAAGCAATATAGTAAACACTAGCGTAAAATTCTATTGATCGGATTGGTCAGATGATTCACATAGCGGGCACGTGATCTCTGGAAAAGTTTGCAATAAGCCTGTTCAAGCCGGTTCGGGCACCTGTTGTTTTTGTGTCTTATACATGGCATAATAGACAAGAAATCTCATTAGATGTCTATATATCTTGATATAATTAAATTATTATTTGAAAGTGCGACCTGTTAGCATTATTTTCGGATGATGATATATAGTCTATTATAAGGACGTTCATTACGAAGTGCATGAAGTCCTTAGAAATTAATATACCAGCCACGTATACATAAGATGCTACTTATGCAAATATTATTCGCATACACTACATGTAACTTTGAGTTAAAAAATGTCAGATAAATTGCAGGTTTTTGCTTCCTAATGTTAGAAAGTTTGAGAGATATGTCATGGAGATCGATACAGCTGGTGGGGATGGGGGGGGGTCATAAAGACTTTTTAATTAATACATGCATGTAGTACTTTAGCTCCCTAATATGAAATTATTGCGTAACATTTTATAAAAATCTATGCAAAGATTTGAAAAGTTTTGACAACTAACGACACACAATTAAACCACTCACTGCATGTATACAATTATTTCCTTATTCGTTTTCATAATTTATGCCTCATATAAAATGCGATATATCTAGTGCCATCAACTTTTTTTCTGGTTTAGAGTTCATGTCAGCACATTTTTTTCTGTTTTATTTTTAAAAATGTGCGTTTTTATTCACAGAAAATCAAGTACGTGAAAATAACTGGCATATTTATTCAAAATAAATTATATGTACTATTATTTAACGTTAAGTTATATTTACTTCAAAGTTTATGGTATATAATAGATACAGTTATTAGTGAATTGTTATTTTGAAATCCGGTATGACTGGATGGAAAGTGGCCGTAGCTTATTCCACAAACTATCCTTCGTATGGGATTATAACATGTTAGCCTCCCGTTGTCCGGTTTATTGGTTTATTGAAAGATCCCCGGTAAAATCCCCGCGAGATATATACGCAGAAGAGTTTAGATGTTGAAAAATATGCATTCGGACAAAACGGATTCATTATAATATTTCAAAATTAAGTTTATAAAAAATAGAGACACTATAATGAATTATGTAATTAACATATATGATTTTTTTTTCTTATAACAGCTTAAACTTTGGGGGAAAATTAGCTTATTTATAAGTTCCACCTTCGAAAAGAAAAGGAGACAATCCGAACAACGAATAAAATTTCCCAGACCGAAAGTTCAAAGGTCAAGTAAGGTTAATCTGGTGCCTACTCTTTATAAGGGACTGTGTCATAGTATTATCGCATTCAGCTGCAAAGCTGCAATTTGGTGTAACCAGCTCGCTATATTCAGAATCTCTGAGATCTCAAGATGGCCTCTTGTATTACAGGTGAGTTTTATCTTTTTAATAATTAGCTTTTGAAATAATTTTCTTTTTTTGATTTGTTGAGTATGATTAATTATGCCCACAACATATATATACTTTAATTGTTCATGTTATATATAAGAAGCCGGCAGTAAATGTGTAAGTATAAATTCATTTTAATTTGATGTTATTAATGTACATGTACGCTTAACCAAAATTATTTTTATATAGGTAATTGTTTGAATCGCTAGTCCTAATGCATTCTCTCTTTCTCTCATATATATATATATATATATATATATATATATATATATATATATATATATATATATATATATATATATATATATATATATATATATATATATAAAATATTTGATTCAAGTAAGCCTTGTTGGGGAATATCGTAAAATACTGCGTTGACCTTATGTGCCGCGATCACGCGTACAGCTGTTCTGACAATCAGCTGTTAACGCATGCATGCTAACCCACGTGGAAATGGAATTTTCCTTGAATCAATAGTTTCCAAATTAAATCTGCATGCGATGAATTCATCACATTTTTAAAAAATAAAATACGGATTTTAATGCATGCAGGGGGCTTGTTACGGAATATCTGCCATACTATGTATAGTAGGGGTGACTATGCTAGTATTAAAAAAGGCAAACATTTCTACACTGTAAAAAGAGTGTTTAGATCCTAAACACAAAACTAAACGCAAAATTTGTTTCACTTTTTTTACACGTTTAGCTCTAAACGTGTCTCATTTCTAAACACGTAGACTTCATGTGTTTAGTTTCTAAACATGTTTACCCCCTAAACACTTATATCTAAACACATAATTTGTTTCACTTTTTTTACGCGTTTAGCCCTAAACACGTTTCATTTCTAAACACATTAAACTTTAGGTGTTTAGTTGTTTAACATGTTAAGTTCCACAACATTGGATCCAAATCAATAGTTTCAATGATAAACGATTACAAAATAACAGATGTTTTTAAAGAAGAAAAAAAACTATTTTTGATAAGTTTCATAGAAATTAATTAGCATATTTAAGCACTGGTATGTACATACAGAAAACAAACTTTTTAACTTGAAAAGTACCCATGTTACAAGAAAGAAACAGCTGACAATAACATCGCTGAACATTCAAACATGATTTATTATAAAGAATTCTAAATTAAATATACATATAAGTTTAAACAGATATTTTTAAAAGTTAATTTCAATATTAATCAGCTCAGCAATTAAGCAGTTTCTTTTCATGTCAGTAAAAAAAAGGGGCTCTTCAAATTTATTAACTTCCAGCAAGTCCTTCACTAGCAACACATACAGCGTATAATTTGTATCAATCTATGACTGTCAGGAAGTAATCCATTTCCAGTATATAAGTATATTTGGGGGGGGGGGTATTCAAAACTACCGAACAGTAGACTTCACAAAATTCTGTTTCTTCTAGAATGTAAGAAGTGCTGAATAATGTAACAACAATTGCACTTGGAGATGACACCAGTTACTCTGATACGTTTATTTTTGCTTTTAAGTTCGATCTTGACCATATCCTGTAAGAAAGAAATTTAAATTATAGTAAAAGTATGCTTCTCAATGAAATTGTACAGTATTTGATAGCTATTATTGTGCAACTTTTGGTGAAACTCATTTAAATACTACATAGTACTGATAACGATATAGATGTTTTTAATGACATTCTACATGTATATATACTCATTTCTAACTTTCATGATTGCAAAATAACCGAAAGAAATCTTGATCTACATTTACATGTGTAACTGCATGTTTATTTACGTTGCTCATCGTGGTCAATTTATGTAAAATAAAAATAGTAAACAGACCTTTTATCGTAGTAATGTTGCCTTTCAAATGCATTTCACAATCTCTTCTTGGTTATCACTTTTGTTATCATTCACATCCTTTGATACATCTTTAGCTTACATTGGGAATTTCTTTGTTTCGATAACCGCTCTAATTAACGTTCAAATATATACGCGTCATTTCCGGGAAGATAACTCTGTACTTCACAGAAAAGTGTTCAATTTCTAAACAAACACTTATATCTAAACACGTGTTAAATCTAAACGCGCTTAGATATTACACATGTTTAGACATAAGTGTTAAGTTGTTAAACATAATGTTAAACATGTTTAGGTCTAAACACGTAATGGAAGTGTTTATTTTCTAAACGCAGTTTTTACAGTGTAGACGAGTCTTTATGATTGGAAAGGATGTTTGATTTTAAACTTGAAAAAAAAAATGTATATGGCAGGGGTATATAATGTCCCTTGAAATTTCTTGTTTACAAGATCCCCTCACTCTCTTCCCGAAACATAAAGAAGGAAAAAAAATAATTTATCGTTTCAATAACAATCTCAAAAATTATTACCGAGAAAGATATTTTATCATCTCTTTGCCCGATTGTTTCCACATTTTTTTTACAGCAACAGTGCAACTGTCACAAGTTGATCATGTTAGTGCAGTGTCGCACACCTAGTATAATGTGATGAAAAAGGGCAAAGTCACATTATATAAATCTTTTTTTTTTTCCTTTTAGAAAGCCACAAAGTGCACAGTAGTGCTCACAAAAGAATCCACGAAAGGAACGACTTCGAAGTGGAACCCACAGAAAAGCAGAGAATCACAATGTTTAGCGAGAAACCTGTCAGAAAGTCTAATAAAGAAAACAGCTTGTGTAATAATATCATGACTTTAAAAACTAAAGAAACTCAAAGTGATAATCATAAAAAACACGAAAAGAAAGCACCAAAACAAGAGAAAGTGAAGCACGAATTCCTGGACAAGCTGTACGAAATGATGCTGAGAGACGGTTTCATGAAAGCACGTGACCGCAACGAGAAAGTTCTGGAGTTCTCACATCCTGAAGATCTGAAAAAGAAAATTGATTTTGAACTGGGTAGCAAAACATCGGACGAAAAAATATTGAGTCTGTGTCAAGATGTCATCAAATACAGTGTAAAAGTCGGTAAGTAGAAAAGGCTAGGACAAAGTAGAAAATATTTTTTGTAAGTCATACTGTACATATGTATGTTGTCAAAAGGAAAAGAGCTTTAATTTTTAGCATTCTGTTGATTTACAGCACATCCAAGGTTTTTTAACCAGTTGTATGGCGGACTTGATGAGTACAGTCTGGGAGGATGCTGGCTGACGGAGACGATGAATGCCAGTCTTTACACTTACGAAGTATCCCCCGTCTTTGCTCTCATGGAGAGAGTGGTCATTGACAAAATGCTCGGGAAAATCGGCTTCCAGGATGGCGATGCCATGTTCTGTCCTGGTGGCTCCATATCCAACATGTACGCGCTCAACATTGCCAGATATTTCCAGTATCCTGAGGTCAAGAAGAAGGGTCTGCGGGGAATCCCTGAAATTTGTGCCTTTACCTCAGAAAAGGTAAGTTCAAATAGAAAAAAATGATTTTTTTTGTTTCCTAGTCAATGATCGGTTAATGTAATAATACTGACGATATTTTTCTCTTCTCTTTACAGTGCCACTATTCTATAGCCAAGGGTGTGGCTTTTATGGGAATGGGACTTGACAATCTCATTTCCGTCAAGACCGACGCCATAGGTAAAATGATCCCTGAAGATCTAGAAAAGAAAATTTTGGAAGCTAAAGAACAGGGAATGACTCCCTACTTCGTTAATGCTACAGCTGGGACGACAGTGTTTGGTGCCTTTGATCCTATCGACGAAATTGCTGACATTTGCAAGAAATATGGTCTCTGGCTGCATGTTGATGGCGCCTGGGGAGGTGGAGCCCTCATGTCTAAGAAATACCGTCATCTTCTGAAGGGGGTTGAGAGGGCCGACTCTATGACATGGAACCCCCACAAGCTTATGGGTGTTCCCCAGCAGTGTTCACTCATCTTCACAAGACACAAGGTAACACAACATTTCTGCGTATTTCAAATGCTTTAAAAAAAAGATTGTAAAACAATTGTAGCAACTAATATGTAGAAATGTGAGACATAAATTTTTTTCTCTCCTACAGGGTCTGCTTGAGCAGTGTCACTCTGCCAATGCCGCCTACTTGTTCCAGCAGGACAAGTTCTACGACGTCTCCTATGACACTGGTGACAAGTCCATCCAGTGTGGACGCAAGAACGACGTGTTGAAGTTGTGGATCATGTGGAAGAACAAAGGAGATGAAGGATTCGAGAGAGACATTGACAATCAGTTTGAATGTGCCGAATACCTTGCCGAACTAGTCAAACAACGAGAAGGTTTTGAGCTTCTTTTGGAGGTAAGGATAAATTGGATATGTTAAATAATTTTTATTGACGTTTAAAGTTACATTTAAAGCGGCAAAATGAAGTTTTAAAATGTCATTAAGAGACTTCAATTTCTCTTGTAGCCCGAATGCACCAACGTGTGTTTCTACTATATACCAGAGAGGCTCAGGGGCAAGGAGAGAACGGACGAATGGTGGAGTGAAATCTCTAAAGTAGGGCCAAAGGTCAAGGAAGCCATGATGAAAGCTGGTTCTATGATGGTTGGCTACCAGCCAGATGGACAGTTTGTTAACTTTTTCAGGATGATTGTCTCTAATCTTGATATTGTGAAAAGTGACATGGAATTCGTTGTTGACGAAATCATCAGACTCGGAAAAGATCTTTAACCATTCGGCAAACTTAGACAGCATTGATATTAATTTGTAAACCTGTTATAGACATGATGGCATTTAGACGTTGACAAATTAGTGATAATAATCTCTATCCGTCAATTCTCATATTTTTTTTAATATCATCAGTACATTTCCTGTAAATATTGTTATTTATATTATGTACATAACTTTTAAAATTGTTATTGTTATGAGTTGGTAGAAAAAATTGAAAAAGAACTTAAAAAATTAAAAATTGAAATAAAAAATAGAATTTCGAATTGTCTCCGGTTTATTATTTGTAAGTTGAGATCGGAAGAACATGTATACTGAGAGTTTTGGAGGATATTCAATGTTTTGGAGTTGGATATAGAATTTATTTTGCGAGTCTGACAAGATTTTTTTTTATTTTGACGAGTACGTGGGAAGCACGGTTGTAAATATCGAAAAATCCCCTCGCGATTGAAATAAATTCCATATCCAACTACAAAATATTGTATTTTCTGTTCTTTTACATTTTCTTTGATTTGCCTTTTACCTTTGTCTTTTCGTAACAGTAGCCTCGTAGAAATTGACGTCATAGCTGAGCGGTATCTAAGTTATTGTGAGATTATAAACTTGGGTATTAAGAATTTGTAGAAACTTTGGCAGGTTAAGTCTATGTCAGGATTTACTCTCTTATCTTGCAGCAGAGTATTTTCTTTATAAATACTCATCGTGAGGGGATGGAACATCTCGAGTTTTGTCCACTTTTGGTATTTTCACTGTGTAAATATGGCTTTCAAAAAATCACTTTTATTCAGTGGATAAATATTATTTCACTGTTGAAAATTTAATCAAAACTATATATATATATATATATATATATATATATATATATATATATATATATATATATATATATATATATATATATGTTTATATATATATACACATGTGTATATATATATATATATATATATATATATATATATATATATATATATATATATATATATATATATATATATATATATTCTGTTTCTATTGATGAGTTAACCGATCGAGTTTCTCCGCCATTGACTCATTTCCAGCAGTATGAAGTTTTTTTTCTGGAATAAAGCATTTATTCATGAAATGTTTTTGGAAGTTTTTTCCGGTATTTTGTTCGGTCATTCTCGTTTATAAGAATCCAAATGGAAATATCACTGTCCTTCGTGTTTATATTGTTCTCTCTCGTGGAAAAGGGATAAAATTAGATATGTTTTGCAACAAATAAATTAAGGGGTATATTTCCTATAAAACTGCAATTAATCTATTTTTATTTTTGTGATGCATCAAATCGTATCAATTGCCAAGTGGACATTGGACATATCAGTGTTTACAAGGTATCGCTAAATAGATTAATGATAACTTTGGTCCATTTTTTCCGATATGGAAGCTCGTAAAAGAAGAGTAAAAATAGAAATCCTCAACATAATTGAACCCTCTTTATATTCAGAGGCATGCAAAAGTAAATAACATTCTTCAACTTTTTTTTCGAATAAAAAGATTGATAAAATCTTGCTAAGAAAGCATTAACAAGCGTTAAAAGAACTTATCCGACGATTTTACATTTTATTATTATATACTATAGGTTTTTAAGTACAATGTATATCATTTGTTTAACTGTCCGGCAATTGTATTATAATAAAGGCGGTCATCAATCTGATTCTTTCCACTGTCATTAGATTTATGATGAAGCATTACAGCTTTTTTTTCTCTCTCTCTACTCTCTCTCTACAAAGAATATTTTAACAACCTACCTGTATATTGGCTGGATAGGTCTATGACGCTGTATAACACAATTACTCAATGTGTTGGGATTAAGAAGACTTTTGTAAGTTCATAGTTTTATTATAAAATCACAGCAAAGGCAAAAGCAATGGTACATAAGAAAAGTTCAATGGCTGTCGGTCTCGGAGCTAAGGTGGTGAAAGCTCACATAGTCATTCTTAGAGCCAAGATGTTAAAAGCTATTGATACTCAGTGCGCACATCTTTTGTACAAGAAGCTGCATCATAGGGATCACGTATTTGGTAATAACAATCAGTAAGTTACATTGTCACTAAATTAATATTAATATAGTCCGCCCCTCACTGAAGCACTGTCTCTCATCTCCTTATAGGATACGGCAATGTCCTCTGTTTACATTAACATTGTGTATCTTGCACATTCTTTGGTTAATTAGATGGTTGCAGCTTTGCACAAAGTCTGATTGGAAAGTGTCAATGTTCGAGAACAACACATCGTAAAAACTAATTGTCCGTCAAATGAAGACGCTCACTTATTGCATCCAATCTCCCAGAGTTTGTAAACAAGATCATAATTAAGAAGTTATTGTCCATCGCTATACACACTGATAGTATCAATTATAATTCAAAACACAATATTTAAAATATTAATAAACGCAATGTACAAAATTAATATATCAATTAAAATTATAATTTGTACGCTCATTGTGTTACAGCTGTATTTAACTGATTTTCAAATTGAATAAATCAAAAATTATGGAAAGAACAGCCAACAATCTGATATTTTGTTATTAACAAGCGTTACGATTCCAAACCCCCTTCTTTTTTGCGAAACAGATATAATTGAACAGGGGGTTTCAAATAGTAGGCACCTATAACATAACAGCAAACTTTTTATAGGGTGGGATAATTTATTTCAGAGTTATATCACAATGGCAACATTATTGAAAGGTATGTCTTAATTTCTTTGATAGTAAATTGGACCAAAATATATGCGATTATCATATATGGTATTACATGTATATGGTATGGTGGATGCAGATGTGTGTACAAATACACATTGTACATGTAACATTCATAACAACGATATTAAATAAATGCTATTGTGATTGGTAGAGGTGTTATATGTAAAGAAAGTTACTATCTGAAAAAAGTCATTGCTATCAAGGTAACGGATATTAATGAAATAAATATTTCAGTATTTGAACATTTCAAGACCTTCAGCGCAACTTATATGCAATACTTGCTTCAATATACAATATTATACTCACATATAATGCGTTGAATTTATTATTATAAAATTGTGTCGTAATTTGAACACTCTGGTGACCATAAAGCGTCTAAATTTATTACTTATGAACTTGGTACAGGGTTTATCTTAATTAAAATTACTGTCATGTATTGAGGAATAAGTGAATTCCAATATATCAACTTTTTTATAATATCAAACAAATTATACATGTAGAACATAACGTTGACTGAAATGTTTTGGTAACGGATAAAAAGTTCATAGTTTCTAAGAGAGAGAGAGAGAGGGAGAGAGAGAAATAGTTCAGGCGCGGATGCAGAAAATTTTTCCAAGGGGGGGGGGGGTCCACCCCAGTCAAATAAAAATTCAACCCAAAAAATTTCTTAGCAAGCAAAAAAAAAAAAAAAAAAAAAAAAAAAAAAAAAAAAAAAGACGTAAAATCCATTTCCAAAACGTGAAACAACACCTATTTCGTGGTGGTGATGATGGGGTCCACGTTTTCAAAAGGGGGGGGGTCCAAAGTTATTTTTTATTTGTTTCAGTGTATACTTTTAGTAACTCTGCAAATTCAAGGGGGGGGGGGGTCCGGACCCCCCAACCCCCTTCTAGGTCCTTGCATGTAGTTAAATCATCTACACTAATTCTAGAAGCGGACAAGCCTTGGGAGAAACGATACAAGCACAGCAGAATAAAGTAATTTTGACAAAAGAATAAAAACAAGACATCTGAGCACTAGGTGGTTGTTAAAGGAACAAGGATATAGATATAACTGTGTTTCTATACGGAAACTGTATTCAGGATATAGACATCATCATATATAAGCGTCGGTGATATAAAAGCAGACCTTTTAGGTCTATGGTTAAATGTAGTTTTACGTATTTTTTTTTTCAAAATTGATAACGAAACCCAAACTCATCTCCACAATGACAAGGCTTTGTGATATCGTTCGACCGATACTGATGGTGACATATTTCTGCCCCTATATGCAAGTTATTTCTGTATTTATAGATAGGTCGTCGTGCATGATTATTTTGCCAACCGCAACATGAAAAATGTAATCAGAAAAGAGTTTGATTTAAAAAAAACAAAAAAAACAAATATCGCCCACATGTGACTTCCAACATGCAAGATGCAACTTATGTGTGTCGGCATGCAACTTTTTTTTTATGTCGACACGCGAATTTGATTCGTCTTATTCATGGGGTACAACATTTAATTTATGATAATATGCGAGATGAATAAGTTGACATGCAACTAATTTATGTTGACCTGCAACTTACATGTACGTATTGTTGCCATGTAACTTACTTATGTTGACATGTAAGATATATAAGTAAATACCGTGTAACTTACAAGGTCCACTTGGTCCAAAAATTTGGTGACCAAAAAAAAAAAAAAAATCGAGGTGAGGGTTGTTTGAGCCACTTTCCTTTAATTACTTCTTAAGCTTCATATGTACGACTCTTCCTACCAACTTTACATGGGTCCGCGTTCTCTAGGGGGTCCAAAGTAATTTTTTTTATATACTTTACTAATAAAAGGTAATAATTTTTTAGTTACTTTACTATGTACATTTAAGGACATACGCAACGTACCTTACCTACTGATAATTTTTCAAGATATTTTTAATTTAAGATTATAGTGCCATCAGATGTTCGTAGACAAAAAATCAGCATGTATTACCAGCTAGAGGTTATGAAAAGATATCAATTGATGAAAAATCTTGTATAATTCAAAGAAAAACATACAAAAATTACTAAACATATATTAAAGATGTTTTGTTTATCCAAACTTGTTTTAGAAGAAGTGTACAATAGCATATATAGACATTAAAATGTAGCACACAGTTCCTTTAAGTATTGGAACTCTTCAACTCCAGGGAAAAAGGCAAAAGAGTTCAAACTACGTTGCGTAATAAGTTACATTAATAAGAAACATGCCGAAAAAATAAATTGCATGTTAACTAAATTTTTTGTTGACATAAATAAGCTACATGCTGACAAAAATATGTGGCATCATACATATTTGAAGTCACATGAGGGCGATGTTTGACAATGTTTGAAAAATTTACCGAATTCCTATCTGACTACATTAATTTCTCTCGCATGTCAACATAGTTATGTTGCATATTGATATATTTATTTTAGTCAAATTTTAAACCTTTAAAAGTACAAAACCATATACACACGTCTGTATTAGATAGGTTTCCATAGCTCAGGTGCCATTGCTCCCATGTGCCATTTCCTTTCTCTCAACTCTTGGTAGTTAAAAAAAGGCTGACATTAGATAATGTTTCCCAAAAATCGAAAAGAAGATAAAAGAACAATGACTAGAGCTCTTTTTTATTTTTTTAAATCCGATATCGAATTTGGAATTGGTGCAAATCAAGAATTACAACAAACCTTAGCTGAAATGAGATGATGTAATTTGGAAATCAATCTTGAACATGAAATAATTTTGCACAACTGCTTTGAAAAAAGAAGGGACAGGCCTTGCTCAATATTATTAATTGATTTCTTAAATTGGTGTGAAAGAAATTATTACACCAACTTAACTTTAATGATTATTCACAATGTTGATCTGTTTTTCTTTCATTTACTAGTATTAAACCATATTGACTTAAAGATTATATAAATCGAACGGTATACATAATTCACGAGAAGAAAACAGTTATTTCTTTGTAATATATATGTTGTTTCCATTGTTATATTTAAAAAAAAGAGTAAAGGGGACATAGGACAACACTAGTGTGCTCCAGGAACGCATGTGTCGCCTGCTTTATAGCTTCATTAAAGATGTAAAAAAAAATCTCAGCTATTTATTTACTACATGTATTTTCCTGCAAAAAATAGTATAAGACAGCGATAGAATCTGACGATCAAAGAAAACATGCGTCCACCAACCCTCAAATGAATAAATAAATTTAAATTATCAGAAATAATTATTTATCATGCATTTCATTAATACGTGTTTCGAAAAAATCCTCCAAAAGAGATTTCAGCTGTATTTTACAGCATTTTGTCAGTCTACAAAATCCATTGTGGAATACCAATTCCGATGTATTTTCCTGGTATTTTAGAAAATATCAGTTTGTGCGCAATCTGATTAAAATCAGATCTTTGTTACGCTCCGAAATTCTGATGGTCGCTGTACAAATAGAGAAAGGAAGAGAGAAGGGGAAAGAGAGAAAAATTGAGCCCTATCCGTACAGCGACCATCAAAATTTCGGAGCGTAACAAAGGTTTAACAATATTTTATACAGAGCTGTACAGACATCCCAAAAATAAGACAGTGAAACACTACTTTCGTAATGGTTCAATTTTCGTTGAGGTATTAAGATATACCCACGTATTCATTTCCTCTACGAAATGTAAAATAAATAAATAAATAGACTGCATTTATGTTTGTCATCTTCAACCACGAACTCAAATACCAACGAATTAATATATTTTGATCCCATGAAAATTAGTAATTATAAAGTAAGTTAACATACTGATACTGTAAACCACAGACTTTTGATTTGGAGATGTCATTTAGAGGAATCATTCATCATTTGTCAGGATCGTGACTCTGGTAAGCGTTGTGGCCCGCGGACCTCTTATGTTGAATATTCTTGTAATCCCTGAAGTTCTGGTTAACACGACATCACGTGGATAAAATATTTGGCACAGCTTGTACCACAAAGTCATGCATTCTTCGTTCAAAACATATCACAAATTGCTGCAGAACGTTCAGTTCTTGATACTTCAAGACAAAGCTCAGTCGACTTTACCTTTATCTATTTAAATACATGTATTCAGTATAAGCTTCCAAATTTTTGCTAAAATTCATAATAATTCATTTAAAATCCACTGACAGATATCAATTTGGTTTGTATATTCATTGCAATATTCTATTAATTAATTAATAGGACGATTAAAAGTGAGAGGTGTTTAAAAATATTTTTATTCATTGCATGACTTGGACCGAAAAAGTAGGCACGAACGTAAATAAATCGTTCCCTACACTGAGCAACGTACATTTTTATACGAATTACTTTGAGCATCATAGCAATTTGTAAATAAATCATAAATTCACATAGAAAGGGGGGCATCCATATCAAACCCCCCCCCCCCAATAAATAAATAAATAAAAAGTGGAATTGTCAAAGATTACAATAATCTATTTGGTGAAGGGTCGGCTTCAGTCATAATTTCCTCGTTATTCTTGGTGTGTCCAGGGTCCTGTACATTCTACATGTGGTTTAGTTTCTGAATTTAGATAAAACTAAAAATCTAATGAGTGCAAGTTCAAACCCCTTCAATCCCTTTCTTTCCCATCTAAAATCACCGACACATACCGAGAAGAAATCAAGTGCAAAAATTAATGAAATAACTAATTTAAACTGTCGGTCTCATGATTACGGAAGTAAAGTTAATTTTTGTTATAAAAACTTTAAAATATGGAATTGAAAAAACAACAACAACAACAACAGTCTGTTTAAATTAAAAAAGCAATTAATGTAGCTTTATAGTAATTAAGATAATTTACATGTCAAGGCTACACGTGCGACAAACTACAATCGCGTAAAAACAGTTATGCCCACATGTCTTGTTTGACATGCGATGACTGATACATATTCGGAGGACATGCAACCTACGAAAGCAAATAATAAACATACATTTAATTGTAAATCATGAACGCTAGATTTATAACTATTCTTGAATTTTACCCCAAAATTAAGTTTTTACACGTCAGATAAGCAATTAAGTTCACTGCAGTGGGAAAAACCTTCATTGAAAAACATACCGTCAGGAAAATTCCTAGTAGAATACCAACTGCAAGAGGCGGGGCTTATTCCTGGTTGACCTTACACGTGAGCGAACGTAAATCCTTGGCTGTGGTCGCTTATGAATATTCATAGGTTTGAACGATCTCCATCGGTTCAAGGACTTTCTTTAGAACACAGGGGCTTGCTCCCGGCGTGTAATAATATTTATTTAAAACAAATCATAGGTTAGTAGTTTTAGTATTAACGTATGATTTTTTAAAAATAAATAATTATTACACGCCGGGAGCAAGCCCCTGTGTTTAGAATACAACAATCATGGGTCACGATGAGGAGATTTGTTTTGGTTGTTTTTCCGATTTCTAATAACACCCGTGGGTGTCTACTGAATGTATATATCTTAAATTAGACGTTTGATTCGTTGCAACATTTGTTTGCGAAGCGAGATTAGGGATTTCATTAGCATGATTAGATAGACTTTACAGAAGGTTTTATCGCAGGCATTTAGTATGAAGGGGAATTTATATAGTTTTGATGTTAATTTAGTACGGAAATTGTCATTAAAAGATCGGGCCCCTCCATTCCTTTTTTTTTGGATGAAATAGTCAGGTTTTGTTGGTTTTCTTTTCTTTCTTTCTTTCATTTCCTTTATCTATCATTTCTAAATTCATATTATTATTATTATTTATTTATTTATTTTTTTGCCATTTTTTTCTGATTTTCTTCTTTTTTATTCCCAATAACCCCTCCCCTTTTCCCCGCACTTTCGTTAACCACGCTAAACGAGATCAAAGCAACTCGAATGTATATTTAATACATTTTAAGGGGATACTAGCTCTAAATTAGAAGGAATTATCTGTGTTTAGGCTAGTTAGAATAATCTAACTGTGTCTCGGGACAGGCCCTCACCACACGGGTCCGTAGGACATTTATTATTTTAATGATAGAACATTCTATCTATGTTTAGGCATCAGATATGCAGTCATTCTCATTATTGCTACCTCATTTCAGTGACAATAATGTTAGAAAAATAACTTTGCCAGACCCTTTTCATAAATTGGTTTTAAAAAGAAAAAAAGCATTGCCCTGGGACATTTTCTGGGGGGAAAATCCAAATACTTTTGTGTTTGCAAATCTAGGTAAGATTCTTTAGAGGGTGAACCCCGAGAAATGGATGCTAAACTTGTCAAAACATTGTTTCATTTTAGTAATAAATTATGACATAAATAGTCGTAATATTCAATGTTTTATGTATTATGCTAAACGAAAAAAAAGTAATTGTAAAATTATACATGTAGAACATAACGTTGACTGAAATGTTTGGTAACGGATAAAAAGTTCATATAAAGAGTTGGGGTGCAAGGGTTTTTGTTTTCACTCCGGCCGCTTCTTTTACGAGCTTCTTTAACGGAAAAGACACGAACCCTAGTTTTTATCCTATTTAGCGACACCTTGAAAACACTGTTATGTCCATATTATAATGTCCGTATTTTGGCATTTGATATGATCTGATACATCACAAAAAGAGTGTGAGATGCATTGCAGCTTTAAAGGAAATAAACCCCCTCATTTATTGCAAAACATATATCCAATTTTATCCCTTTTCTACGAAAGAGAACAATTTAAACACAAGCGACAGTGATATTCCAATTTGGAGTTATATAGATGAAAATGACTGTACAGTGATAATTTAAAGTAAGCCTATTATAACTGATGTAAAAATTGTGTCCGATCCTACATCGATAGTGTTCATGAGACGCTGGCTAAAAATTTCATTTTTCTGTGCAAAGCGAGACAACTCGGATCCCCAAAAGAAAAAAACTTTTAATTTTAGTTTTGAGTGTGTGCTTTCCTTTCTTAATCAATATGACAGAAAGAAGATTCTAACTTAAGAAATGCATTTTTTTTTCACAAGTACTAGTTATCACCCCTTATGGGAGGCCCATAGCAAATAAAAGTTTTTCAGGCATATAAACCTAAAAAAAAAAATAATTTTAATAATAATTTTAAAAAAAAATAGCATGTCTAGCAAAACAAAGACCTTAAATTTTTATCTGAAAAATATAAATCCACATACTCCAGCGCCACATCATCCTAATATAACCGAAATCTGAAAGATAAAGGAGGACCAGAGCATGATTCAAATTCAAAGGCATGTGTAAAACTAATTACCTGCTAGCAGTGAGTCTGGGATAGCGTCCTTGGAAAAGACATTTAAAATGGGGGAGGGCAAGACCGACAGGTTTGTTTTGTCATGGCTAGGTGGCTGAGTTTGTAGATTCAGCAGTTAAATATTTTAACATCTTAATTAAGTCTAGTCTATTTCCTTCCATTCCACTACACATGCTGATAAACATTTTTTGTTATTGTGCAAATTATTCTAAACACAGGGACTAATAGTAAATGAATCAGATTTTATTTACTGTAACATAAATCATTTAATAACTTTCAATAAACAAAATTCTATATAAACAACGAATTATATGTATTTCCTATCCTCTGGTCATTTACAGATCTTTATGCAATTATATATTGAAATTTAAACACAAAATCAAACTTTGAAAAATTCATTGTAATAACCAGATGATCCTTTTTAAGATGGTTCATTAATATGTCCTCTCCAACAGAAGATCAAATAAGACACTGATGAAATGGTCAGCATCTGGTCCTCCTAGGAAGTTGTGAAAACCATTCACTCTCTCAGCTACACAGGGTGAAGAAAATGTAGACTTCACACTTGTCACAATAAGTTCATGGAGGTCATAAGTCAAGGCAAAGTGGAAAACATGGCAAGCATTCTCTGAAGAGACATTGTGCTCCAGCAAAATTAATAGAAAGTTGACTAGTTCTGTTAACATGTATCGATGACCTAATACAACAGTGTCCAGAATATTGCACAGTGCTTCCTCAGATTTATCACAGTTTGTTAGGCTTCCCAGAATTTCACATGACAAATCACAACCATGTAGATAATGTAGGATGTAGTTCACGGCAAATGGAGTGGTGTTAGACAGAACAACTTCTTGTTCTCTGGATTCGGAATAATGACCCTCCAACATTGCTTGGAAAAGGTCTGAACTTTTGACAAGTGTCTCCCTGTTCCCTGACAGAATGGTGTCTTGAACATGGAATGAAACATCTTTGCACTTAACACTTTCATACCTGCATCCTGTGCCCGCAGTCAGACCAGAGTTTTGTAGGGCACTGAAGGCCAGTTTGACTTCATGATTACTTGGGTCTGAGTGTGACATAAACAAGATATGTCCTACAAAACACAGGGCCTCAATCACTGCTCTCTTAGAAGGATGACTTAGATCACTAGTTACGTGTTTAAAGATGGCTTCCATGAAGTTCTGTTTTATGAAGTAGTGTTTGGTCATTCCAGTATTCCTGGAAATAATTAAAGTGGACATAAAATAATTCACTGTCAAGAATACATACATGTGAAGTTCTACATTTGTAGGACTCCAAAGTGTGATGAAACTCCAAAGTCCGATTGTCACCCCAAAGTCCAATGGTCTGCGCCAAACCCAAATGGTTTGACACGCCAAAGTCTGATTGTTCATGTGCAGTTGTGTGACAAAGCAAAGCTCAATGGTCTACACACAAATGCAGAAAAGTGTTATGTTGCTGCCTTTCCAGAGACCAAAACTAACTCAATTCAGTGTGCAAGGACCAATCATAAATCAATCAAAAGATGTGCAAGACTAACCAAAATCCATTGAACAGTGTGAAACGACCAACCCTATTTGTTGAATTTTCAAAGCCGAACAATGATGATAGGACTGTAGTTAAACATAAACATTTTTACTGTGGATAATCACATGTCAGACCATGGGACTTTGGATTGACTATCAGACTTTGGTGTGACCATGAAATATTACACATTATTAGATACCCAATATAAACTTTAACCCATTATGATGAAACTACATGACAGAAATGTGTAAACAAAATGATTTAACTTTTTATCCCTCACGTGTTTACAGTTGTATTTGAAAAGTTTATATTTGACTTACCAGAGAGCAAAGAGAAGGGAGAAGATGGCAAAATCTTTAGTATCTGGATCTGTCTTGTGGAGCCAGTGTGCAACCTCGCCACGTCCATAGGGGCCATCTACCTGCGTGGAGACATCTTGAAGCAGAATAAGTCCTGCCTTGAATGGAAAAGAAAGGCTTTCCTCCCCTGAAGATTTCTTGTCATTAGAAGCTGAGCTCTTTGACTCTTTGTCTGAAGTTTTTAAGTTTTCTGGACTTTTACTTGTAGATGCCGATGACCAAAAATCCTCAAGGTCAAGGAAAGATAATTGTGAAGAAGTGGAATCTACACTGTCTGATCTGCTTCTAATCTTACTCCACTCCTTGGTTTTTAGACATTCATGCTTTGACTTCAAGAATGATTGAAGGATTTTGTCTCTATAAGATATTCCAGTATACCTTAAAAGTTTGTGATATATAAGTACAGGCATATGAATTTGTAACAAGGTATTTAAACAGAGTGGATTTCCAATAATTCGACATAGAGTCCTAGCCATCCTTTTTTCGGGTTTGTCAACTAATGCTAAATAATCCAAACAGCAACAGATTGTCTCTAGATTAACTAAGTATTTAGTGGGATCATACATCTGTGAAATCCTTGATAAGATGATAAGAATGTGCTGCTCTGTACTGGAGGCTTCCTGTCTTCTCCTCTTAACTGGAGACATCACAGCAGTTTTCGTCCGTTTAACTGTTGGCTCAATCTCTTCATCTTCTGACATGTCTGCAGCTTCCCTTTTATTTTTGAATAAACTGATTCTGGGAATGCTCACTTGCTCACTTAATCTGCTTTCTTGTAGCTTTACTTCTTCACATTTCTCCATTGTCTCAGTGCTTTCTTCATCCTCAGATTCCGAGTATACATCTGGTCCTAAAAAAGACTCAACCTCTTCATCTTTCTCAGGAGAATATCCCCCTGGACTACACGAGTCAGTCTTGTAGGACACACTACAAACAAAGGGGTAATTTGGATCTCTATTTACTGTTGAGGAATCCAAACCACCAGGGCTAGATGGGGGACTGTAGTCGGATGTAGGGGACAGACTTGGTGAGTAAAATGACACTGTACTTAAGGGACTCAATGAAGCCGGGGAGGATGAGGGAGTCTCTGTATACTCAAACGTTTCCTTACACCTGGCACCTGACTGATACTCCTCCAGGCTCCAGTCTGATCTGGGTTCATATGTAGGACTGTCAATGCTGAAAACATTTTTGTTTGAACCCATGTCTTTTTCATGATCGTCAGATTCCTGACTCTGGGCCAAATGTACATAGTATTTTTCAAACTTGCCTGGTGTAAAAGTTGTCTTAGGAGAGAGGAATTCTTCTTCTGTGAAATAATAATCATACACACTAACTATTGTGGACTCAAACTCTGCCACTCTCTGTAGGTGAAGGATAAGAATAGAAACTAGGTCATATTCCAACAGCACATTGAGACCAGCCTCATCAAATACAAAACACTGTAGTGCACTAATGATTCTGTCATGAATTTTTTGATAATCTTTGTTCTTTAGTGTTTCACATAAGATTTTCAGGCCACCAAGATTCCTGACCTTCACTCTGTTGACTGACTCCTTACAGCACAAACACACTATATTTAAGATAGTCAATTGTATAGACAGGTCAGTGACTTGATGGAACATTTCAATGAATGCTTGTAAACCTCCAGCTGATCCAAATTCTGGCCTGATGTTGGAGATATGATTGAGTTTGCAGAGCAGTGAAAATGTTGAATTGTTATCCTTGTCACCAAGTTTGGACACGATGACCTTGAAAGCCCCAGATCTGATTAGTTGTGTTGCAAACTCACAGGAGGGTCTGAAAGGTAAGTGAAAATGATTTCACAAACTTTTGTATTTAATATTTAAAATATCAAACAAAAAAAAAGAATGAAAACAATAAAAAAAATTACTTTTTGGTTATTGATCTAACTAGAACTGTCAAAATTGGACAAATACCCCCGCTGGGTTTTTCAGAGAAGGCCAAGTCACAAATACTAGTATTTGATGGATCTATGAGGTGTTCACAATTTGTTTAAACATTTAGAGTGAAAATTTACCTGTAATTGCTCATTATATTTTTTTCATGTATGAAACTAAGGCCCAGCCTAATAAAACATCATTACTAATAATAACATTGTTTTTTATTACACTGAAAATATAAATAACAATTTTTCAAGTATTTCTCTATTGGAAAGTATGCATGCATTATTTATCCATCTTTTTTTTTACAGTGACTAGAGGTCAAGATCATGACAAACCCTCAGGTCATAAGGAATCTTTGTGCGAAGTTGAAACTCCCAACATCCCAACATTATTCTCCATAGGAAAGATACAGACCAGACAAGAATTATGAACTTTTTCTGTCAGTGACCTTGAACTTGCACATATGACCTCGGGTCAAGGTCATGAGAGACCCTCAGGTCATAAGCAATCTTTGTGTAAAATGGGAACTCACTAGGGCTGTCACGAGTACCCGAAATAACCGAGAACCGCGGTCCAAGTTGTTCGGTTCGGTTTGGTTCCGGTTCCATTTTTCCGGATTTCAGTTCGGGTCTGGTTTATATATTAGAGTCTGTTCAATACAAATCATTTAGGAATGATGACGATGACAGTGATAAATAAACATTACAACTGAAATCTACTTCATTCCATGACAAAACACTTGTCACGGAAGTATTAGATAATTATCAAAACGAGCAGGAATGGTCAGGTTGTGGCTAATAGTAGGCCAAGTCACCGATGTCTAGACGTTCGCATGGTTAAGACTTGTTTTCAATGTAAATTTAATGTAACAAATAAAGATTTTTCAAGTTAAATTCATGAAATTAAGGTTTAAAATAGATGTAAATACCCGACCCGAAAAACCCGAAACCGAACCGAAAATTTACAGAACCGACCCGACCCGAAAAATTTTGGAACCGTGACAGCCCTAGAACTCACCAAGTTTATCCATAAGAAAGATATGGATCGTACACGAATTATGAACTTTTTTTTTCAGTGACCTTGAATTTGCCCAAATGAACTTGGGTCAAGGTCATGACACACCTCATGTCATAAACAATCTTTGTGTGCAGTAGTAGATTCTAATGTTCCTCCATAAGAAAGATATGGACTGGACATGTTTGCACAGACAGACAGATGGACAGCTAGACAGACGGTATAAATTTAAGTAAATTTTCAGTCTTAAAACAATGAAACATGGATTCATAAACAGAATTATTCATCTGTCTTGTAAAAAAAAAATTATATAAGTATAATGATGTCATGGACTCTTTCTACACCAGTAACAAACTGGTAACTGGTGAGGAGAAAAATGGGACAGAACAGAAATTAATCCTACAAAGGAAAATTTCAATCACTGCATGAGTCTTTACTGTGTATTAAGTCACTTCCTGTGTATATAGGTATTACCTATTATGTTTTACACATGATAGATTGGTTACCAATACTGATAGATGATAGAGGATTATATACACAGTGTATATAATCCTCTATCATCTATCAGTATCGGTAACCCACTTATTAAGTGTATATAATCCCTTATCATCTATCAGTATTGGTAGCCCACCTATTAAGTGTATATAATCCTCTGTCATCTATCAGTATTGGTAACCCACCTATTAAGTGTACATAATCCTCTATCATCTATCAGTATTGGTAACCCACCTATTAAGTGTATATGATCCTCCATCATCTATCAGTATTGGTAACCCACCTATTAAGTGTATATAATCCTCTGTCATCAATCAGTATTGGTAACCCACCTATTGAGTGTATATAATCCTCTGTCATCTATCAGTATTGGTAACTCACCTATCAAGTGTATATAATCCTCAACCTTTTATCAGTACTGGTAACCCACCTATTAAGTGTATATATTCCTCTATCACCTATCAGTATTGGTAACTCACCTGTTAAGTGCATATAATCCTCTATCATCTATCAGTTTTGGTAACTCGCCTATTAAGTGTATATAATAGTCTATCATCTATCAGTATTGGTAACCCACTTATTAATTGTATATAATCCTCTATCACCTATCAGTATTGGTAACTCACCTGCTAAGTGCACATAATCCTCTATCATCTATCAGTATTGGTAACCCACCTATTAAGTGTATATAATCCTCCATCATCTATCAGTATTGGTAACCCACCTATTAAGTGTATATAATAGTCTATCATCTATCAGTATTGGTAACCCACCTATGAAGTGTATATAATCCTCTATCTTCTATCAGTATTGGTAACTCACCTATTAAGTGCATAGTCCTCTATCACCTCACACACCTCCTTCCTAACAGAGGCATCATCACACTCAATCAGTTTACACACTTGATATATGGCATTGTGTGATAATATTCTATCTTTCTGGTGTTGTGTATTCCCCAGTAATCTGTAAAAATACATATTTTGAACACTGCTGCAACACATAAATATTGTAACATTTCTCAGATATTACAGAATCACTGGATTTGCATTCCCTACCTGACTGCCCTACAATATGTGTGTTGGTGGTGAACATTTTCAGTTGTTTCCATTCTGGTAACAAGTGTCTCAATGAAGTCTGTCTTATGAATGCTCTCACAAAGACCAGGATGTTTGGCCAGATTGGCCAAAGTTCTACAACTCCTGTTTTGTATACTTTCATGTTCACATTCACAAAAGAAGAGCACTGCAAAAACATATCAATTGAGATGGTAGTTATTCATCAATTATGTATACTGTATATCATTAATACTGAAGAGTCTAAAATTTTCATGGGAACAGAACTTTGTCAATTTGTAATTCAAAAAATGCTGCTCTATGCTCCCAAGGGAGTTGATGGGAATAAGTCAAGAAACAAGAGGCTCATGGGCCACAACGCTCACCTGAGTAACTATGGCCCTACTGCTTTTTCAACAGCAGATTTTCCCCTATCTATTCCTAGGTAAAACTTTGATCACATACTGTGGCCTCAATCAACCACAAAGGGTCATGATTTGAACAAACTTTAATCTACCCAACCTGAGGATCCTTCCATATGACTAATCATGGCTTTGCTGTCCTTGGAAAGAGGATTCTTGAAGATTTTTCTTGTATATTCCCAGGTAAAACTATGATAACACATTGTCATCCTATCCTATCCCTGGATGGTCATGATTTGAACAAACTTGAATGTACACTACCAAAGGATGCTTCCATATAAATATGACTAATCATGGCTTTGCTGTTCTGGACAAGTCTTTTTACTACTATATATTCCTATGTAAAAATTCAATCACCCATTAAGACCCCATCCTAACCCCAGGGGTTCATGTTTTGAACAAACATAAATTTACACTACTTGAGGATGCTTCCATTTAAATATAACTAATCATGTATCTGCTGTCTTACGAAGATTTTTCTTAAATATTCCTATGTAAAACTTTGATTGCCTATTGTGGCCCCACCCTACCCCTGGGGGTCATGATTTGACAAATTTGAATCTACACAATATAATGAGGCTTTCACGTAAGTTTCATCTTTCCTGGCACAGTGGTTCTTGAGAAGAAGATTTTTAAAGATGCAAATTAAGTTTTCACTAATTCTTAATTATCTCCACTTGAATGAGGGCATGACCCTTCTTTTGAACAAACTTAAATTCCCTTTACCCAAGTATGCTTTGTGGCAATTGTGGTTATTGAGAAGAAGTCAAAATGTTAAAAGTTTACAGTCAGACAGACACCTGAAAAAATGTGATCACAAAAGCTCACTTCAGCTTTTAGCTCAGGTGAGCTAATAAAAACGATTTCAAAGGGACTTAATTTCACTGCTTCAAAAAATTCCACATTAAAATTAATTTCTAGGTGGATTAAATATTTTTTTTTGTAGAATGTTATCAATGAAATAGACAAAATATAATCCACAACAAATATTTCTCCTGTTATAATAAATATTTATATTGAATAGCTATATATTTAGATAAACAAACATAGATTTACTGTAGATTAAGGACTAATGACCCTTTGCTCCAAATTTCACGAATTTTTTTTTAACTTCCCAACACTGATTTTCATCAAGAGCTATAGCATCAAAATCAAATGAAAAATAGTATGAGGTATGAAGCACTGCTTATTTTTTCAGAAATGATTTTTATGTCAGATCATAGTATGAAAAAATTTTAACACAGAGATTAGGAAGAGTAATAATTTATTATCACAACATAAAATTAGAAATATGTGGTGTATATGAAAATAATATTTAGTATCATACCTACTAAATTCATATTAGAAATCATAATGAAGCGCTGCTTCCTAAGTCAGAATATCACAATGTTATATGTGGTTGTAAGAAAACAATACTTCTGTTAGCAAGAGTTATCTTTCTTATAAATATTTTTTCATTGGAAAAAAATGTAATACTATTGAAATTTTAAATTTGGTGCTTGATACATTAAACCATTTTTAAAATGATCGTTAAAATGATAGAACTTATTCAATTTTTAAGGGTTTTAAAACTGGATTTAAATGGGGTTTTTTTTGTCAAACATAATAAAACAATTTGAAAAGTACAGTCAACGGAAATATAAGGTAATGTTTCCATCATGCATTAAGTTTAATCAAATTGACTGCTCAAAGGTCTCGATAATTAAACTCTGATAATGTAAACTATGAGTAATACTAGGATATATTACTTGGAAAGTTATCTCTTATCAGAGGGTAGGTCCCCCGTAAGTAATAATCTGAGGTCCAACAGCAAAGTAATTTTACAAATTAAATGAATTATTTATTTCATACCAAGGAATTCCAGTCCATATGAGTGCTTGTAAACCTGAAATTAGACAACATGTATTGATTATCATGTATCATACCAGGTCCAGTACAATCTCTTGATTTCCCAAGCTAGCCTACATGTATGTACAATGTAGCTTGAATCTGCAATACAGCTTGATTTAGTTATTCAAAATTGCCTGATTTAGGTCTTTTATATCTTTTTTTTTTTTAAAATAAATTTGCATTTTGTTTTAGCATGTAAAAATGGTACAGCAATAGTTTTCAACTTCATATTGTTCTGAAAACAATGCATGAAAAAATTGTTTATCAAACCATGTATCCTTCATAGCCATCAAAGTTCTAAAACCTTTGGGGATATATAAACCAATTGATTTGTGACCAGTCATGCAGTTACATCTTGAATGAAATTATTAGGCAGGTCAATTCTGGTCAATAAGCTAAATGAATGGTAATACATGTACCAGTAATTCAGTAGGATGTGAAATAATCATACTAATGATATCCTTGCCTCACCACACTCAAGTTGGTGTACATCTACCCAAAAAAATGGAAATGATCTTTTGCTTAAAAGTGTTCAAATGCAGCAATGTTCATGTTTAAACTATATTTTGTTTGGATAGATTTTTTTAATAATAAGTCCATGGTATAAATATGAGCAGCCACATCAGAGCTGTCACAGCCCTTTTTGGAACAAGGACCGCATCCTTCTGGGGAGATCAACATTTTTGTGAAATTGGGAAATTTTATTTATTGAAACATAACATTGAAAACAATTTTTTCTGAATTATTTTTTATTCTTAAAAGTTCAGTGCTTTTTGTTTCAAATTTTAAAGGTGCCCTTGGGAAAAATTAATTTATGTTCCACACTTAAATGCCACTGGGTAGAGACTGGCTATTAGCTGTCTAAATGTTCACAAAGTGGACTGTCAGTCTATATTTTTTGTGAAACCATGCAACATGAACAGCATGCCTGCTGGGCAAAAGTTGTTTAATTCATAAATGCATTGTGGAATATTTTATCATAAAATTGCAGAAATTAGTCACTTTTTATCACTGGGTATGGGTGCTTGTGAATTTTGTATTTAAATAGCTTTATCAAGCTATTTTGAATAGCTTAATACAACTTAATAATATAGCTATTTCAAGCTATATCATTACTTAAATAAAGAGATTGTGCCAGACCTGCATACTTGATAAATCATTGTTTAATTTGTTTGCAACTGACATATACATATACATGTACTTAGAGTAAAGAATTAAGAAATTAACAAATTTTATATGTATGGTAGGATGCATCGCAAAAAACCATGCCTAATTTTCACATAGTCAAACGGTGTTATCTCAACTTGACAGGACAAAGATTAAACTTCCAGATATAAGAGAATTTGAGATTACGAAGGAAAATTATAAAATAAAAGTGGTTGGATTGCTAATTCATTTCAACATATCCCTGGTATTCAAGATACAGTGGAGTCACCAATTATGGGACACGTCAGGCTGTTTCCTTGATATTTTGCAAAGTTGTTCGATTTATATTTTATGAAATATGGGTAATCAGTATTGAAAGTATAATTTGCTAGTCAGACTCATTCAAGAGTCTTTTTATTTTCAAAATATGGACATTGAAACAATATTTATGGCTGTATTAACTATTTCAACAAGGCTTAGTTTTCCCACTTTCGAAACATTTTCTCCATGTCTAGGTCATGTGACTTCATGGTCTTGTAATGTTAAGGGATCGTCTTGGAATGTAATTTTTATGAGATTGAAACATTAAAAAAAATGCATGAAACTTGGGTAAAAACATGAACAACAACAGGAAATAACAGTTTTATATATTAAAAAAATGCAATAAGTCAAACATGCCAAAAAGTCAACAATAATTAAAAAAAAACATGACTAAAACATGTCTTTTAGAATTTATGTCTAGACAATTGTCAAGAAAGTACTGATAATAGAATTTAATCTCTTTGCCCTCTGGAATGTTCAATATATATATATATATATATTTTTTTGTGATTTCAAGAAGTTAGAATTTAAATCTTTTATTTGTTAAATGGTGTAATTTACAAGGAATTGCTATCCTGAACTGGTTGTCCTGTGAGATCAGCTGTAATCTCAAATCATGACATGTTCTATGTCATGATGTACATGAACCACGATTGGAGACACTGCTACATTTTGATTTATTGATCAGTGTAAATTTATTTGAGCAATAATCATTATGAATGATTTCTGAGTTATATCTGAATGAATGTCCCATACTTTACAGCTATTATTGTTTACCTGACTTTTATATCTGACAGCCATGCTGCAGTGAACAAAAACGGAAGTAGCCTGTCAATGAAGTAAAAAACATCCCTGTCTTCAATGTGTAAAATTCATTTTTTTTTTTTTTGGTTAGATGCTCTGTTAATGTTGATTTTCAAAATTTTGTTACTGATTACAGGCAGAAAATGATCGATGCATTTATTAATTTTTTTGTGCATCAATGTAAATAATATGGCATAAAATGCATACGAGTGACCAGGATCAAGAGATGACCCATAATTTGCCACTTCAATGTATCAGTGTTTGAGATGACAAAGTTTAACTGTATTTTAATTTGTAGCCAGTGGCACAGTTAGGTTACGAAAAACTCTCTCATACTATCATTAAATATCTATTATTCTATATGGTCAAATCTCTATAAGCGAATTTCACATTCATAAGAGTTAACGCTCATTTTTCTCACCATAACCTTTGTAACTTTCCTGTAAATATTTTCATTCTTTAAATGCTATCAGACATTTTTGATCCGTTCCTGTATTGCCATAGTATGGGGCAACATAAAAATATAACAAACTTACTCATACAGATTTCATTTGTATGTCATTACCCCATGAAGTTTGTAATGGTATAGACAGATAGAGGGAAAACATTGTCTTATGCCGATTGACCCCACAAAGGGAAATAACTTTTGTAAATGTGAAAGTCGTCTATTGGTAAAAAAAATTGTCGTCTGGTCATTTTCTATGTAATGGCCATTTTCTTAAGAAAAAAAGTAAAAATAAAACAATAAAATATTACTTCATCACGACATTCCTGCAAATTACACAGGTCTCCAAGAATGCTAAACAAGAGATCGATTGTTTTCCGACGACGGTCTGTCAAGTTTTTCACTTCTACCAATTCCAAGAGTTGAAAGAAAACTGGAACTATTCTGCATTGTATTAACAACAAGTGGTTATGCCTGTCGTTTGCACGTTTCTTTAAAACAATAAGAGAGTTGTAAGCCGTCTGTTCCTCTGTTGATAAACAGGTTTTCATTAGCTTTTCAAATTCCTTTTTCGTTGCCATCGTCGTTTTCTCCATCCATGTTCACTTTTTCCGGTGTAATATCTTGTAGACAGCTCGTACCACAACAATTTCGAGTTTTTAAACTTTCAATTTTTTTTTTCTGTTCTTCTTCTTCTTTTCTAATATTTTTATATTACTAATTTTTTAAATGAAAAAGTATTGATAAACGCAAGACTTTAAAAGTAATATGCTCCAGATTGATTTTGACGAACCGTAAAGCCATGGTTACTAAAAAATATAAATTTGTAAATACATTAAAACTGAATGCTACATGTATCTCCTTCTACAGTTTTGATCCGATTTCATAATACTGTTACACAAGTAGATTATGCTAAAATGCACAATTCTTTTTATCGTTTTTTTTTTATTTCATAACGGAAAATGTTGCCATGGTTCCAAAAAAAGTAAGAAATTCTTTCAAAACACTTCTCCTCGGGACTCCAATATTGGTCTGATTTATATACATGTCTTAGTACAAAAGTAGACTACGTACATGTACTCTAAGATACATACATTGTAGATCTGTGTATAAGGTTTTGATTTAGAGGAAACTGTTGCAATGTTTACTAAAAATAGAATAATATTGGAATTTGTTCACAACGTTACTCCTCCTACATGTACGATTTGGTCTGAATACAATAAAACTTGGTACACGAGTAAAGAAAACCAAGGATCATAATTCCTATTTTAGTGTTGCCATTGGTGCTATTAAAGTGTCAAGTCCAGATGCTGCTTTTCTCTATCGTAATATAATAACAAACTGGTTTACATTACAAACAACTGCTGGAATGAAACTGAGAAATTTTCAAACACTGGCATATATACATGTACACCATGTACACTGTACATATCGTGATTAGATATCAATAAAAATCCTTCTGATTCTTCACACGCACTCCGACTGTACATGCTGAAGTTGATATTAAAAAGATACTGTCAACTGAAAAATGTATGGCTGTCCCCCCCCCCCCCCCAACTGAAATTGCTTCCTACGGGCCTGCTGCTCAAAGGCCCTGAGTGCCGAGTAAAGGTCCAAATTTGAGGCCCTTCAACGATATTTTGTGACCTATCTATATCAGTGAAAATTTCTCGATTGGGATGTAAAATAATATACAATCAATCAATCAGAATTATTGGATCGCTTACATTGAATATATAGGAGAAGTCATTATTTGAAGGAAGTATACATGGAGTGAATGGACACAGGGACAATGGACAAAAAGGCGTGTTTTATCAATTAACACGTACATGTAGACAAAATTTTTGACTGAGATTTGGACAACATATGAATAATGATTGATTGCATCATTCGGTTTTCTCTTCAGGTCCAACTAATCACGTGTTGCTCTGATACTCAATAACTTTATGATATTGGAGATAAGTTCTCAGGCGCGTAGCCAGAATTGAAATGATGTGTACGCAGAGAACGACATGGTTTGGGTAGGGGGTCTTGAGCCCCCCCCCCCCCCCTGTGTTTAAAGGCTCTGGTCAGGCACGTAATATAGTTTTTGCCAGCCAGGAAAAAAAATTCTCAACTTTAATAATTTTGACAAGCAAGGACGAAAAAGGAATATTGTCAAATTTCGAAGTTCTATTTCTTGCGTGTGTGTGTTTCTTGAAAGGGGGTGTCCAACTTTCACAAACCAAATTTTTATTAATACATTACCAAATTACCATGATTTAACAATGGTACAACAAACAGTGGGGGTTCACCCTTTCAAAGTACATTTGCAATAGTAAAAGGTTAGGTTTTGGGGATAAGTTGGAGGGGGGAGGCTCCCCTGATACTACGTGCCTGCTGGTGAAAGCCCAGAAGCTCCGGAGTTTTACCAAATATTTCATTCATTTTCTTGAAATATAAATATTATGCCATTTAGTTTTTGTTTAGGAAATAAAAGACATAGTAATATTTATTGTTTTAACGAAAATTAATATTCCATGGAAACTTATTGCACATATAATTGAGGCTAAAAATTTAACCGATATATTAATTGGTATCATATAATCTTTCTTAACGTTTAAAACACGTATACAAAATTTTAATTATGAACAAAAAAATATCGTATTGTAAATTGTACTAGTAGATCATAACATTCAACGATGTGGCTAAAATTTAATTTTTCAAATATCTTTAAAAAAAATTTCAATGTATGATAGAACAATGACAAAATAATGAATGATTTATTTGGATTTGGCAGTTATTAAATAAAAGATTTCAAATTTTATCATACAGTCATGATAATATAAAATTTAAATCCACACAGTATGACACAGAATAATTTGAAACACGAACATTTGCTGGATAGTACTGAGATTTTTTTCTCCGAATAATTCTCTCTTCTTTCGTTCCTTTTTTTCTTTTTTTCTGAAAATGATGTGTACGCACTTGCGTATTTGCGTATAGGCAGCTACGCGCCTGGTTCTGCATCGATTTCGCGGGGAGTAATACATGTAACAACTACTAAGTTGTAAATAGGATCCTCAAACAGCTGTGTAGTCTGAGTTCATGGTGATTCATTAATATTTATACCATCAAAAAGTTTTAAATTAAACTTAGTCTCAGAGATCAGTGTATGTTTGCACAGTGTTCATGAAAGATATTCGTAATACAAATGTACATACATGTAGGGCATGATTGAGAAACTGTGTAGCTGAGCCCTCTAAATTTTCCATATTTAAAAGTCTTGATTATACTATTGTAGGGTCCTGTGTGTGTGAAATTATAAATCTCTCTGAGACGTTTTTCAATACGATGTCTGTCAGAAAAAGGTTGAGCGACGACAAAATATAATAATACAGCTTTAGGTCCCCCCCCCCTTTCCCACTCCACCTTAAAGCTTAACAAGAGGCCCAGGGGCCACATCGCTCACCTGAGCACTATGGCTAGGAAAAAAGCAAAAATCAGTTTAGTATTGCAATGCTTAAATGCATAAGTGGTCGCAACCTACCCCTAAAAGGGAGAGGGGTATGATTTGAACAAAACTGAATCTACACTAACTAAGGATGCTTACATATTTTTTTGACTAACTGACTTTTTTTCCTACAAGTTTAAACCTTCATTGTGGCCCCTACCTATCCCTCAGGGTCATGATTTGATCAAACTTGAATCTACACTATCTGAGGATGCTTCCATATAAATATGACCAATCATAGCTTTGTTGTTCTTGAGAATATTTTTTGAAATATTTTACTTATATACTCCTATGTAAAACTTTGATCGTCCATTGTGGTCCTATCCTATCCCCAGTGGTCATGATTTAAACAAATTTGAATATACACCACCTGAGAATGCTTCCATATAAATATGACCAATCATAGCTTTGCTGTTCTTGAGAAGAAGATTTTTGAATATTTTCCCTCTATATTCCTATGTAAAAAGTTGATCGCCCACTGTGACCTCGCCCACCCACAGGGGTCATGTTTTGAACAAACTTGAATCTACACTACCTAAGGATGCTTCCATATAAATATGACCAATCATGGCTTTGTTGTTTGAAGAAGGTTTTTTTAAAGATTTTCCCTATGTATTCCTATGTCAAACATTGATCGCCAACTGTGGCCCCACCCTACCCCCGGGGATCATGATTTGAACAAACTTGAATCAACATCACCTGAGGATGCTTCCATATAAATATGACCACTCAAGACTTTGCTGTTCTTGAGAAGAAGATTTTTAAAGATTTTCCCTATGTATTCCTGTGTAAAACTTCGATCGCCCACTGTGGCCCCACCCTACCCATGGGGGTCATGATTTGAACAAACTTAAATCTTCACTCCCTGAGGATGCTTCCACATAAATATCACCAATCAAGGCTTTGCTGTTATTGAGAAGAAGATTTTTAAAGATTTTCCCTATGTATTCCTATGTAAAACTTTGATCGCCCAATGTGGCCCTACCCTACCCCTGGGGGTCATGATTTGAACAAACTTGAATCTACACTACCTGAGGATGCTTCCACGTAAGTTTCATATTTTCTTACACAGTGGTTCTTGAGAAGAAGATTTTTGAAAGATGCCATAAATTTTTCATGAATTCGCAATTATCTCCCCTTGGAAGAAGGCGTGGCCCTTCATTTGAATAAACTTGAATCCCCTTCACCCAAGGATACTCTTTGCCAAGTTTGGTTGAAAGGAGATGGGCGAACATAGAGTGCAGAAAGCCCATAGCTTCAGAAATATAAAAATCATGTTCAGTTCGTGAATTTAATATTTAGAGTAAAGTTCTCATATTGAAATTTATGAAATTGTGATAAACAAAACTTTTCTAAGGAAAATTTTCTCGGCAAAATTTATTCTTTTATTAAAAAAATCAATGTGGTATTCGTGGGGTTTGAACCCTAGAAATAAAAATCCTGAGTATCATTTTCTTTCGAGACTAGCACGCTAACCACTAGACTACACAAGTCCTAACGAACAGTGGCATTTAAATCATGTTTGTGATGTGACCCTTGACTTAATGGACTTCAAGTATTTCTCGAAAAGATGCGAATATTATGTCATAAAAGTATATTTTTAAGGTATAGTGGGTCATTGCTCCGTATTTTTGGTAACCAAACAATGTATATATTTTTATGCAAACTTTGAGGATTAACTTTCAAAAAGGTGGAGCGAAGACCCACTCATATCGAAAAATAGTGTTATAGTATGCGAAAATGACTCCTTTTGCCCGTTTTAGTGTGTGTCTAATATTTCACAGGCAAATAATTTCAATCTTTGGGGGATTTTTGCAAATTGTAGGGATTTTACATAAAGTATATCTTAATGTTAGACGAAATATCATGGAAAATTTTGATATAATTGAAATTTAATTTTTCATCTTCATGTTTGTCACACTATATGCTTATCGCTCGTCATGTTCACCCATCTCCTTGGCCCAGTAGTTCTAGAGAAGAAGATGAAAATGTGAAAAGTTTACTACAACAACGACGACAGATAACGGACAAATTTTGATCAGAAAAGCTCACTTGAGCCTTTGGATCAGGTGAGCTAAAAAGAAACCTTTTTACACCTATC